GGTGGAGGCAGGAGAGCAAAGCTCCTGCCCCTCACCCCAGCCCCCAGGGGAGCAAATGCCGGCCCAAGTGTGCCCATTTCAGAACCGAGTCAACTAGGCTGCGTCCACATAGCTGGTGGGTACCTTTTCGGTCTGTTTAGGTCAATCATTAAGCCTCAGGATTCCAGAGGAAATGGGCTCTTTCCTTTGGATCTGGGTTCACATTCTCTCTGCGCCACCCTCAGGAGCGCTAGTGTTGTTGTTATTGTTAGGTCCTGTTTCCTTCTTAAGCAGGAACCACTGCCCACTTCCGTACCCTTCTCACATTAGTTCTTACGTTGTAGCCCCTTGTTGCAGCCACTGCGTCAGTCCGTCTCCAGTAATGAACACGTTTCAGGCGTGTGGAGTTTAAAATTTTTCAAAGTCCTTTACCCTGACTGGCTCGAGAATGATGAGCCAGTCAGACTGCAGGGTAGCAATGATGAAATATATAACTTTCCTCTAGTTCTTAAATGCTCCTCCCCTCCCCCACTATCATGATCCCAATTCTACCTTACAAATCTGGCTAGTCCAGAGGATGTACATTGGTACAGATAGGAACTGGAAACACAGGGAATCCAAACAGGACAGATGAGTCCTTCAGGACCAGTGGTGAGAGTGGCGATGCCTGGAGGGTGGAGGGAATGTGGGGTGGAAAGGGAGAACCGATTACAAGGATCTTCCTATAGCCTCCTCCCTGGGGGATGGACAGCAGAGAAGAGGGCGGGGAGAGACGTCTGACAGTATAACATATGACAAAATAACAATAATTTATGAATTATGAAGGGTTCATGAGGGAGTGGGGAAGGGGGAGGGAGGGGGGAAATTAGCAGCCGATATTAAGGGCTCAAGTAGAAGGCAAATGTTTTGAGAATGATGAGGGCAACAAATGTGCAAATGTGCTTGACACAATGGATGTATGTACGGATTGTGATAAGAATTGTACGAGCCCCCAGTAAAATGATAACAACAAAAAAAAAGATTTTCAAAGTTCTTTTCTATCAGTGATCACATTCGATTCCTACAGCCTTCTCAGGGTAGACTAACTTACATCTGACATGAGACGAGGGCCCCAGGGAACTGGAAACCAGGGGCCCACCTTGGAAACTCCAGGAGAGCCGTGGGATCCAGGGAGTTAAAAGTGAATCCGAGGTGTATCAATATGCCAATTGCACCAGCCCACAGAATTTTCCTAGCGGAACTCTCTGGGACAAGCCTTGGGCAGGCGTACCTCTCTGATCTTTAATTTGTCCAGAGATGTATATACAACCCAAGGCTGCCAATCCACAGGTAGCTTATTAGGACACATGAAACGCTACCTAAACAAAACCAAACTCACTGCCTTCGGGCAGATGCTCACTCCTAGCAACCCTCTAGGGCAGCGGAGAACTGGTCCTGCGGATTTCCATCCGAGACTGCAAACTTCACAGGAATACAAAGCCTCATCTCCCTCCCCACCCCTCCCCCTCCCCTTACCTACATAGGGTGCTGGTATTGAGTTGGGTCACTAATATGCTATATTCCGGGAACTAGACAATGAAACACAAGCGGCTCAGCCTGTCCACTGTTTCTCAGACGGGTTGTTTGTGGTCCACCTTCATCAACGTTGCTGTAGCAACGGGCCTTAAATGTTTATTATTGCTCCCTATGTCAATCCACTTTTTAGATCTGTGTTCTTCCCAAATACATACGAATATCAATTCTATATATTGAACATAAAAATATTCATGTGCCTTTTTT